AAAGAGCTGCCATACAACACACTGTGAAGAAAGTCAGGCGGTGGTGATGGTGGGATTCGAACACACATCCCCGGGGTGATAATTTGGTGACGCTACGATCGGACCACCAACGCCTGGACGGGAAGTGAACAAACGAGTGACGATCTCTTCCGTAGTGGCTAGGGTGTGGAGATTTGAATGGGGAAAGTGGTACTCGATAGAGATAACTTTGAGGGCCGATTCAGGCTTTAGTTGATCACCTGAGTGTACTAAGTGAGTTAGAATAGCACTTCCCATTGAAACCAGCGCGTACAGTGCTCTTTCATCCGCTCGGACAGTTGCCTGGCCGTTCCGCCAATGTAGATTGCGTTACCAACCGAGATGGAGGAATAGATGAGGCCAGCGTCGGTAAACTGTCTTTATTAGATGTTATCATTATTGGTGAGTCTGTGAATACGCATGACAAACTGGCTGCATTAAAGGATCCTCTCACAGTACGCTCTAAACGTCTTCTGATCAGATCAGACAGTTTGTCTCTTTCGATTGACAGTTTAATGAACAGCTTCCTACTGTTCTTTTTCGGAACTTCCTAACCAGGCTCGAGTTTAGATCATTCTTCTAGGTTCCTCTCTCTCAACCAATCACTGTAACTTTTGACTGACTGAATATCTGTCCTCGTTAAACATCTCATTTCGTTATATTATCTGTGCATGCCGGAAGATGAATCAATCAAAACAACCGTTCTCGTGTAGTAATCATTTATCTATGTGTCGTTTCAGCTGCTCATTCACATCTAAGGGAGCCACTTGAAAACAGGCAGAGGTGGCGGCATCAACGTACTATTATAGTTCTGTGATAGTATATTGCTTGCGGAGTGCTCTCAACCTGGGTAATCTCAATACCATTGCCAAATTTCGGAAAGGTTTCGAATAAGTAGTATTATAAGAAAAAGTGAAGCAAATATTCCATGGAAGCACAGAACTTTCCATTACATTTCATGCAAAACCCGTACTGATTTTTCAAGTCAGTGACCCAAGTTGAATAAATTTTTGAGATGGGAAATTAAGGATGCTATAGTGAAGATCATGTTGAGAACACCAGTGTAATGATAACTAGGCACGGATGTACCGACGCCACATGACGCTATATATATATATATATATATATCACATTATCACATTTTCTCCTCCCACTGCTTAGTATGTTGGTCCTCATTCAAGGGATTGAATATCAAATTACTCCACATCAGGTGCAACATATCGGTAAAGATATCCACTTATGTTTTTGCTTCTATTAGTTGAATACCAATAAAATGTACCATTTCTCCATTTTGATGATAGTTGCTGGTGTTTCAGTTGTAAAATAACAAAGCCGAAGTAAAAAAAACAATTAGAATTTACATGCAATGGAAATGTTTGTGATAACCGACAAAGAGCACGGGACAGCTGTGCCTGGTGCCTCTTAACAATCGAATGGACTAATCCAAACTTGCTACTCAAAACAACTAGAATTTATTTATCAAAATGACTGATAGACTTCATACAGATATCGTACTTTACTCTTGATAAACCGTCTCGTGAAACAGAAATCATTCATTAGAAATAACGATTTTTCATGATGTTTTGTATGAAATATTTTCCAAATTTGCACTGCAATCTTTTAACTGCTACAAAGTTTATCGTAACATTCAAGGTCACGCAAACTCAAACTGTGTTAGAACAGAACTAAAAAGATATAAATGGAAAGAAGTAG